TGATTGGCGTTTGTGTACACAGCATGACAAAAGGTGATTACGTGTTGTCATCCAATTATAGGCTAATGTCGATTGGATGTCTTGTGATATATATTAACCCTTATAATAATAATTTATTTTATTAAAGAGTCACATATCCATTCACAATTTAAAGTTTCTAGTTGAAACAAAATTGATAGAATTAATTATCCGGCCAAGTTGACCTATGAGACACTATTTCAACGTTAAATACAGATTACTGTAAAAGCATAATATTTCGTTGGGGATTTAATTTCGTTTATTTCGTGGTTTAAAGAAAACCATGAAATATAATCCCAACGAAATTTTAATCGCACGAAATAGAAATTAGCGAAAATATGAAATAAACTATTACTTTAATTACAAACCATGCTGTATTTACATTTAGACACAGGTCATGATAAACGGTGTACTTATCGTCACAGACACAGAGTTAAACACTTATAACTATAGCGCGTCAATCAAGCGTTTGTTACATCGCTCTTTGTATGTAAATTATAGAGCATGACGGATTTGACCGATACCCATAGTGTGAGTTTATCTCGCCGGGTCTTACCTGAACCTCGCAAGCAGTACGGTGACCATCGGGCGATGGTCGATCTATTGTTTTCCACTGACTGGGGTGAAGCGAGGTGTGAAAATTTCACCTGGAGTGGATGGGTGATCACCTCGGGCGATGTACGGTAAGTCTTATTGTCCAGGTGTCAAACATAAAATAACTGGGTTTGAAAATATTGATTTCACGAAATATTTTCCCCACGAACTTGTCCCAAATCCAAAACAACGAAATTTAACCACCAACGTAAATATATGCTTTTACAGTATACTATGATTTAAAAATTAAAGTACAAATCAACTTCTCCACGGTCGGTTGCTGGTTACTTAATCAGATAATGAAATAACAAGATTTTTCCTTTGTTAAAGAAATAATTAACTGGGCCAACCTACCTGCAAACATATAAACATGCACACGTATGTACAATCAATCATATCAACATGTTTTTTTCATAACAACCACTTACCTATACATTCAACAACATTTTGCACATACTTGTACAATTATACCCTCTTGTCAAATACAGCTTTTTATACATTACATACCAAGTCAACCCACTTTTTCACTAACATTTTATGCGAGGACCAGGCTGCCTGCGCTAAGTAAAACGAATTCAGTACAAATGTCACTTTAGTATTTGAACATTGTGTTAGCAGGAAAAAAGTATTTCAGTATTAGCAATAGCAAAACAGTCCTATAAATAAATATTTGCTTTTGTCTATTATATTTTAACATGAACACCGATAATTCTCATAATACATTGTCACAGTTCCTTAGTTTAATGATTTTTCCTTGACGCTTACAAGTAGTGATTACATTTAATTATCCTTCAATGCTTAGTTAGAAAGTTCATACAGACCAACAGCTATATTTATACACCTACAATTTCAACATACATGTCCAATACAATGTACATCCACATGTAAGGTTTCTGTGCACGATTATACATTACAAACAAAGTAAACCTACTTTCTCATAATAAAATTGTATGCATGGGATGCTTGCACCAATTAAAAAAGAATTCAGAACGAATGTCACTTTCAAGTTTAAATATATTGTACAACAGGAAACAGAAAAAGAAATACCAAATGTCACTGCGAGTACATGCACCAGAATGTGACGAGAATTACGGCCCGTGATATTCTTGTCAATCAAACAACAGCGGAGCATCGACAAGAACATCAACCAATCATCGCGAGGGCCCACCTCTCTACCGCGCGTGATTGACAGGTATATCAACCAATGAAACGGTGCCATTTTCGTGTAAGATCAGTGCACAGAACTTATCTTAACACATATTGTATATCAATTACATCATTCACACGGCAATATATTTTATCTATATATGTATTTGATAATGATTACTAATACTACTGGAACTATGAGTGAAATGTACTGATACCTAATATATTACGTTAATACAGAGAAGGTATCTGGTTATGATAGAAAGGAAACCAAAACAAAATACCTTTAGTTTATATATTATTCTGATTGTCATGGTTGACCTGAAGCGGAAACGTATATACTACTTACGGCTTTATATGTCTCTGTCTGAAGACAGGTAATACAATATTCAATATTAATTCTGATAATTCATATATTTAACAACCGGATCACGCTTAGCCTTTTATATAAGAAGTTTCATAGGTTCTAAATTTTAGTAATCACAGGTTCGTTAGACGAGAGCAACTGTTTAGACTATACACCAAAGTCGTATATATTGTAATATAACGTCTCTGGTTAAGAATAATGCTCTATTTTTTTTCTCTCTTTACTTTATACAGTTTTGATAACTGACATACGGATGCACATTATCTTTCTGAAATGGTTAAGTTCGCTTTAAATGAATAAAGAAACAAGATATTTCGAAAATTTCGTTCACTTTAAACACATAAGTGTACGTAACTTAAATGGTATTTTTTCTAATGAAAGCCTTTGTGGAGATCATTGTCATTATCACTCGAAGTTTCAACAACCCGGGAGCTTACATTGCTGTTTTAGGAAGTTAACAGGAGTACCTCGGATACCAGATGTGTAACTCATTAGTGTATTCATGCAAAAGATACATTGTTGAAATGTAAACATACATTGTTGAAATTCATACATTCCGATGACGTCACGTTGTTGACTGACAGGACGGCTGGATTGTGTGTTCATTTACATACGTTTACTTTGATGACATAAATGGACGCGTTTTATGTAAAGAAAAAGGCTATAAATATAAGGATTAACTTTCTATTCAATTTAGGTTATCGGGTGATAACTACAATGGAACCCGGGTAAATTATTTTTTCTTTATCACCCGATAACCTAAACTAAATAGAAAGTTCAACCTTAAATATTATAACATGAAACATTAAATCAGAAGGGATATTCTTACGACAGTACAGGAAAGATAAAGTTCCATTTAATTGAAATTATATCAGTAATGATTAAAAAAACACCAAAATATGAATAAAATACATTTATGTTAAATACAATAGAAATTAAAAGCTGAGAGGACAGGTGATCGGGAATCTCCTTACTAAGAGGATTATATAAATCACAAAACTATTAACAACATAAAAAACGATTGAAAGGTATATGAAGCAAAATAGGAACGTAAACTGTCTTAACATATATATATATATACAGTGGTTCGTTTATGAACATTTACACAATCGGTTCATCATTTGCACGAGTTTATCAATAAATACTGGACAACTAGTACCTCGGACCGAACGGAGCCGGGGGATATAGTTTACGTAATATAAGTTGTATACGACATCGGGACGTACTTATCGTTCGTCATTAAATATCGTTAATATTGAGAGTTCATATTGTGTCTTTGATTATTATATGAGTGATCAGAGACGTATATACTGGCTTCATGTGTCCCTGGAGTGATGTATCAAAGCACCAGTTCAGCAATACGGTAAAAGTTATGCATTATTCTCAAATGGTCGTTCATTTCGATCCTAACCCTGGCCGTAGTACAAAATAAGCATTATTTCCTTGGTCTTTATTTATTTCATTCGAAGTAAATATAAGTGTACTATCGACCTGTGTTATTATATCGTTTTGATTACGGAATTAGAGCGACCGTCTTTGCATAGCTATACCGACAACACGGCCAGCAAGGCAGGGACTATAGACTGCCTCACCTGTACGGGCTTCGCCGGAGCGCGGCTACATCAAAGGGAATACCGCTGTGCGAGTGAGCGGGACAACGACTTAATTTTCGGGGGCCAACGACCAGTTTTCGGGAACAAAGGCACAATCTTATTGAATTGTTATGTTCCTGAAAATTGGTTGTTGTCCCTGAAAATTGGTTGTTGTTCCTGAAAACTGGTCCATGTCCCGACAACTTGGATATGGTTTTTAAATTTAAATGGTGCTCCGCTAATTTGGAGAGTGTTTCCGTAATTTGGGCCATGCAAATATGATTTAGATTGTACATCATTAAGTTAGCCATGTATAGATTATTTAGCTGGTACGTCATTAAGTTGGGTCATGAATTTATGATTTAGATTGTGTTTTGTAAAATTCAATGCTAATTGAAGTTTACTGGTATAATAAGGTAGATTAAGTCGTAGAATTGATTTTTTCGCCCTCAAGTGTTTCTCAGTGCTAACATTGAACATTTAAGATGTCATATACCCTTCATCTTACCGTCAATCTTTTTATCATACATTTCAGGTGTATGTTTCATCAAAGCAAAATCACATTCGACAAAATATTATACACATAAAATTTAAGCATAAATATGTACCATCTGTTTCAGAACAAAGTCAAATCTACAATCAATGACTTATAAACCATTATTTCTCTACAGGTTAACGTCATGTATACAGGAAGAATAACAAGAGGCTCATGAGGCCTATATCGTTCACCTGGTCTTCTGTTGCCAGTTAAGATAATTAAATATATTGCAGCTTCCTTAGACTATCTACTGACCAACTGATTTAGAACTATGGCCCAAAATGAAGAAAAGCATCCCTAACTGCTCCAAGAAATGTACAAACAGTTTCTTGGACATTGTTTTAAACAAAGGTGCATAACTCCATATATAGAGAAGCAACTCCAACTTGTAATACATTTTGTTCATTGTAAAAGATGTAATTGTTATCGGTATTTACATGCAGTTCTCAGTTTTTTCTTCAAACTTACCTCGATTTCCACTTAACAATACTCAAGATATTGTGTGGATAATGCACATAGGTGCCTACCCACCAGATGAAAACATTATATGATCAGTCTTTGAAAGGAATATACAAAGTTATGAAAATATATAAACCAATGTAGGCCAGGACAGTATTATTAAGATATTTGGTTCATCAATGTTGTATATTTGCTAAGTTCTACTGTATGTTGTGTTTTTCAACTTTGTCAAAATCTTTGAATAAGGACGGAGTAAAATAACGCATGAATAGTGATCTGTATGTACCTTAGACATGGTCGATCCCATTCTGTGTTTCTCTTCTTGTTTTGTTCCCGTATTAGTTGCACCGCCTCCTCAAGCTCAGAGTCCAGTTTGAAAACACGACGATACAGAATCTCATAGACGATTGCTGAAAACAGGATGAAATGAAATCTCTATTCATTAAAGACTGAAACTTTTTGCTGGAATATACTTAACACTCAGCACTACAAAGAAAAGGCATAAAGGGCCTTGGACAATATTTTTGATAAATGCCATAACCAAAAAAACATGAATGCTACATACATTCCCACCTTTATTTTAAGAATTTATCCGTATCTTCCTGCTTACTATCTAAATACAGAATTTGTAAAATAAAGTTATTTTTAATTAAAACCAATTGTTGTGATATGATATTCTCATAAACAAAATGCAACAAGTTATTGTGGACAAATACTTATCCCACTGATGTTGAGGTTTTACCCAATTTCATATTTGATACAGAGTATTTGTGTGGAGTAGAATGGAATGCTATAGGACCCAAAACACAGTCCAGAAAAATGACCTCCAGAAAGTTTGAAGCAGTGTATTAAGTTAGAGTATGATTGCGAACTCAGGTTTAGTCAACTCAAGTAGCACATAGAGGGTACTTATGTGGAAGGAACCGAAACCCAGAGAAAAACTTGTGTGGTTTGGCATGCGAACCCATACTTTTTCAGGTCTGATTGGGAGAATGGGGACATCTTGGTGAAGGTGCTGTTCAGCAACTTATTTCTATCTATATTAACATTTGACCTTTCACCTGAAAAGCAACCTATTATCTTATCAATCGTAAGCAAGTTCACTTTAAGCCAGACAGTGGAGTACATATGTATGTTTGACTATTATCAATCCCCAGAAGCTTTTTGTACAGGAACCCATTTTCTTTTTATGGTATTTCTATTTAAAGTAAGAGCGACTTCGACCTTGGATGACCATGACCTTTGGTCAAAATCAAATGGTGTTATTTTTCTTAATCCCAAGGCAACCTACTCAACAAGTACAACTCATTCATTATTTAAAGTTTGATTTTAACAGTGATCTTGACCTTTGCTTAGCCATAGGACAACCCACATATTAAGTTTGAAGTTTTATTGCAGTCAGATGTATTAAGGTTAGCATCCTGACAAGGCATGTAAACAGGCAGGCAGATGGGCATATTCTGCAGTATTGCTACTTCTCCCTGTATTTTTATGGGTTGGAGAGGGTGGGGGGGGNTGATTCAGAAAAAAATCAAATCTTTAACTAACAAATTATCATAACTAAAAACCAGGAGCTAAAACAGTCCCCTTTGGACAGTATCAAATTCAGAATTTACCTTCTGATCTACCTGCGTATTCCAAGTTTTCGGAGTGATGGAACCTGATGCACAGGCTATGTTGTTTTTTAAGAAACAAGACAGTCATATGAAAGCTAGGTCTAGTTCAAGATGACAAACGTGTCTGTTCGAATCTCACCAATGGATCACTGTATACTTACATTGACAGATAGCAGCATCTTGCATGTATGTCTTACTATATACACAGTCCAAATGGCTGTCCTCTAGCCTGCAGAGTAACACCTGAAATTACAGACATCAATCAGACCAGGTACCCACAGGCACAGGTTACCTTTACCTAGGATAGAACATGCAAGGTCAAAGGTCACAGCTACAATGATGGGTACTTGTGTACTGGTTATCAAACAGTTTTCTACAACCCAAAATATCGGTAAATGATTCATAATCAAACACGCCTGAAATAAAAGCAACCATCATGACTGCCACTGTAACTCTGGTGCATGGAAGTTCTAAATAGATGCTCCACCAAGCCATGCTCCATCAAGCCAACAGTTCACCAGTCATTGACCTGGTCAGGACCTGCTCCACACTCTGTTTCAAGACGGTCTTTGCCCTAGAAGGCAGGCAAACATCTGTGGGTATTGTTTGGTTTCGCTGATAGAGGATAACCAAGTCATGTTCCAGTACATTTCAATGCTTTTAAAAGTTCAAAGGTGCAAGGTAAGAACCATCAACAGGATTTCACAATCTATCTGTCCTAATTAAGGGAGAGAGTATCAATGCACTGTGTTTTATTCTAAAGAAGAAGACTTCCAATTTGCTGAGTACTTTTCTGTCTTGGTTGGATGTGCTTGCCCATTTACTATAGCACAAAGAGATCAATTCTCCATTTGTCAAAAATTCAAAGTTTTGAGATCTTCCCCATATCTTCCAGCTATCGTTTCTAAGGAAGTGCCAACATTTTAATTTGCCCTTGCTTGGTAACGAGTATGGGTCTCGCTGGGTATAAAAAGTGCATTACACGTCAAACCGATTATCATTTGTTCAATATGTACGCATCCTGAGGTAGGGGGAAGACCTGGGGAACTGTTTGCCCGAGGCCTAGCACAGGTCTAGTGACAGTTCCACAGGGCTTTCAAACCTATCGTCCTGAGGTAGGGGGAAGACCTGGCGAACTGTTTGCCCGAGGCCTAGCAGAAGTCTAGTGACAGTCCCACAGGGCTTTCAAAACTATCATCCTTAGGTAGGGGGAATCCCTGGGGAAATGTTTGCCCGAGGCCTAGCAGAAGTCTAGTGACAGTTCCACAGGGCTTTCAAAACTATCATCATGAGGTAGGGGGAAGACCTGGGGTACTGTTTTACCCGAGGCCTAGCAGAGGTCTAGCGACAGTTCCACAGGGCTTTCAAAACTATCATCCGGAGGTAGGGGAAGACCTGGGGAACTGTTTGCCCAAGGCCTAGAAGAAGTCTAGTGACAGTTCCACAGGGCTTTCAAAACTATCATCCGGAGGTAGGGGAAGACCTGGGGAACTGTTTGGCCGAGGCCTAGCAGAGGTCTAGTGGCAGTTCCACAGGGCTTTCAAAACTATCATCATGAGGTAGGGGGAAGACCTGGGGAAATGTTTGCCCGAGGCCTAGCAGAAGTCTAGTGACAGTTCCACAGGGCTTTCAAACCTATCATCCTGAGGTAGGGGAAGACCTGGGGAACTGTTTGCCCAAGGCCTAGAAGAAGTCTAGTGACAGTTCCACAGGGCTTTCAAACCTATCGTCCTGAGGTAGGGGGAAGACCTGGCGAACTGTTTGCCCGAGGCCTAGCACAGGTCTAGTGACAGTTCCACAGGGCTTTCAAAACTATCATCCTTAGGTAGGGGGAATCCCTGGGGAAATGTTTGCCCGAGGCCTAGCAGAAGTCTAGTGACAGTTCCACAGGGCTTTCAAACCTATCATCCTGAGGTAGGGGAAGACCTGGGGAACTGTTTGGCCGAGGCCTAGCAGAGGTCTAGTTACAGTTCCACAGGGCTTTCAAAACTATCATCCTGAGGTAGGGGGAAGACCTGGGCAAACAGTTCCACAGGGCTTTCCCCTACCGAGGAATGGTAGTTTTGACTGTTCCCCAAATAGCCATGAAACAATTGTATAATGTCCCCAACAACTTCATGACAGAAAACAAAAATTCAAGATTTTATCTTGACTGTTACCTCATTCACCCCAACATATCTCAACTGGACTTGCCCAGTCTTTGATTAGGTAAGGGCTAAATGTGACTTAAGGGGTGAATTGGTCAAAGATGATACACATTTACGGTTTTATTCTGTATACAACAAATTAATTGATTACAACAAATTAATATTCCTATCAACATATACAAATTCAGATCTTATTCCCCCTTCTTCTCTGATCTATCGGATTGACACAAGCATGTGTCTCACTCACGTCCCCAGTATAGACTAGGAGATCAGCCACTGTGTTTAAGGCATTACTGTGTCAGCCCCGTGCCCCGTCAGTAATGATCGAGATATTTACAAGTGTTCTGAGTTTGGTTACCATAGATCAGTGGCCTGTGTATATATATATAGCCTGGTATTCTAATAGAAACTTGTGAAGCGGAACTTGACTTGGGTCGATCGTCAGTGACCAGGTACCTCAATTGGTGGAAAATAATACATAATAGGTATACATAACCAATGGGCCTGCATCGCTCACCTGGTATTAATCTCACACTTGTAATCTTAAAAGTGGACTAAAATTGAAAGTGGGTCAAGGTCATTCATTGATTTTAACATATTTGACCCCCGTGACCTTGACAGTTGGTCAAGGTCATTCATTTGAACAAACTTGGTAGCCCTTCATCCCAGCATGCTACAGGCCTAATTTCAGTACACTGGGCCTTTTGGTTATTCAGAAGTTGTTTGAAGATTTTACAACATTTGACCCCGGTGACCTTGACAGTGGGTCAAGGTCATTCATTTGAACAAACTTGGTAGCCCTTCATCCCAGCCGGACGCCGCACCATGCCATAAGCTCACTTGGCCCTTCGGGCCAGGTGAGCTAAAAAGTGACTGGTACCTGTTCTAGCAAAGAAAGAAATTGTTACAAGAAATAACATTTCTGATGTCAAGTTGTTTGTGTCATAAAAAAAATATAATATATATCTGCAAAAAATGTATTGTTTTTATTTCTACAAAGATCTTGAAGTAAAAGGATCAACAATGCAGATGTTATAGTAGTCAGAGAAAGCCAGGATTACGTTACGACCGTCAAAAGTCTCACACTTAAGAAAACCCAGTGGAGGGAGATCTCCCACACTGGACTCCTTAGAGGTTGCAGGCAACCCGTACTATAACAGGTGCCGGAAAATGCACAGCCACACTGGGATTTGAAGACAGGCCCTTCAAACTCAAATGAGATTCTCTGACCAATTGAGCTACCTGGTGGTCAATGATCGACCCAGTCTGCTACACACTGGTGGTCAATGATAGACCCAGTCTGTAACACACACTGGAAGTCAGTAATCGACCCAGTCTGTTACACACTGGTAGTCAGTAATAGACCCAGTCTGCAACACACTGGTGGTCAGTAATAGACCCAGACTGCTACACACTGGTTGTCAGTGAATGTTTTATTTGTATTTTCTATGGACAGGAAAAACTGGTGGTCAATGATAGACCCAGTCTGTAACACAGACTGGAAGTCAGTAATCGACCCAGTCTGTTACACACGGGTAGTCAGTAAACGACCCAGTCTGCTACATACTGGTGGTCAGTAATCGACCCAGCCTGCTACACACAGGTAGTCAATAATCAACCCAGTCTGCTCTCCACAGGTGGTCAATGATAGACCCAGTCTGTAACACACACTGGAAGTCAGCAATCGACCCAGTCTGTTACACACTGGGAGTCAGTAAACGACCCAGTCTGTTACACACTGGTGGTCAATGATAGACCCAGTCTGTTACACCCTGGTGGTCAATGATAGACCCAGTCTGCTACAGTAATCGACCCAGTCTGCTACATACATTGAGCTACCTGGTGGTCAATGATCGTCCCAGTCTGCTACACACTGGTCGTCAGTAATCGACCAAGTCTGCTACACACTGGTTGTCAGTGAGTCAGTAATAGACCCAGCCTGCTACACACTGGTGGTCAGTAATAGCCCCAGTCTGCTACACACTGGTAGTCAATAATAGACCCAGTCTGTTACACACTAGTGGAGGGAGATCTCCCACACTGGACTCCTTAGAGGTTGCAGGCAACCCGTACTATAACAGGTGCCGGAAAATGCACAGCCACACTGGGATTTGAAGACAGGCCCTTCAAACTCAAATGAGATTCTCTGACCAATTGAGCTACCTGGTGGTCAATGATAGACCCAGTCTGTTACACCCTGGTGGTCAATGATAGACCCAGTCTGTTACACACTACTCCTTAGAGGTTGCAGGCAACCCGTACTATAACAGGTGCCGGAAAATGCACAGCCACACTGGGATTTGAAGATAGGCCCTTCAAACTCAAATGAGATTCTCTGACCAATTGAGCTACCTGGTGGTCAATGATAGACCCAGTCTGTAACACAGACTGGAAGTCAGTAATCGACCCAGTCTGTTACACACTGTTAATCAGTAAACGACCCAGTCTGCTACACCCTGGTAGTCAGTAATCGACCCAGTCTGCTACCCACTGGTGGTCAGTAATAGACCCAGACTGCTACACACTGGTAGTCAGTAATAGCCCCTGTGTGCTACACACTGGTAGTCAGTAATCGCCCCATTCTGCTACATACTGGTAGTCAGTAATCGACCCCGTCTGTTACATACTGGTTGTCAGTAATTGACCAAGTCTGCTACATACTGGTTGTCAGTAATCAACCCAGTCTGTTACACACTGGTCGTCAGTAATCGACGAAGTCTGCTACATACTGGTTGTCAGTAATCAACCCAGTCTGTTACACACTGGTCGTCAGTAATCGACCAAGTCTGCTACACACTGGTTGTCAGTAATAGACCCAGCCTGCTACACACTGGTAGGCAGTAATAGACCCAGTCTGCTACACACTGGTTGTCAGTGAATGTTTTATTTGTATTTTCTATGGACAGGAAAAACTGGTGGTCAATGATAGACCCAGTCTGTTACACACTACTCCTTAGAGGTTGCAGGCAACCCGTACTATAACAGGTGCCGGAAAATGCACAGCCACACTGGGATTTGAAGATAGGCCCTTCAAACTCAAATGAGATTCTCTGACCAATTGAGCTACCTGGTGGTCAATGATCGTCCCAGTCTGCTACACACTGGTCGTCAGTAATCGACCAAGTCTGCTACATACTGGTTGTCAGTAATTGACCCAGTCTGCTACACACAGGTAGCCAATAATCAACCCAGTCTGCTACACTGGTCAGTAATAGACCCAGTCTGTTACACACTAGTGGAGGGAGATCTCCCACACTGGACTCCTTAGAGGTTGCAGGCAACCCGTACTATAACAGGTGCCGGAAAATGCACAGCCACACTGGGATTTGAAGATAGGCCCTTCAAACTCAAATGAGATTCTCTGACCAATTGAGCTGCCTGGTGGTCAATGATCGCCCCAGTCTGCTACACACTGGTGGTCCGTAATAGACCCAGCCTGCTACACACTGGTGGTCAGTAATAAACCCAGTCTGCTACACACTGGTGGTCAGTAATAAACCCAGTCTGCTACACACTGGTGGTCCGTAATAGACCCAGCCTGCTACACACTGGTAGGCAGTAATAGACCCAGTCTGCTACACACTGTTGGTCAGTAATAGACCCAGCCTGCTACACACTGGTGGTCAGTAATCGACCCTGTCTGTTACATACTGGTTGTCAGTAATTGACCAAGTCTGCTACATACTGGTTGTCAGTAATCGACCCAGTCTGCTACACACAGGTAGTCAATAATCAACCCAGTCTGCTACACACAGGTGGTCAATGATAGACCCAGTCTGCTACACACTGGTTGTCAGTGAATGTTTTATTTGTATTTTCTATGGACAGGAAAACTCACCCTTTCTTCATATCCATTTTTGGTAACACTGACAGGAGGTTTGCCAGGACTCTCATAGATGACAAACTCTCTCCTAGATATAAATAACAAAACACATATCAGTTAACTGAAATTAATTTTATCATTCCATTCTCTATATTACCCATATTTTATTGTAACTCTTTTTATATTTTTGGCAAAATTCATACAAGCACTTATAATGTTTGCAAAAAGTGGAACAACAACTTGAAATATGCTTAGCATGTCTTTACCTGTAAACCAAAAATCAGTTCCTTGTAGTTGTCGAGTAGGAAAATGATTGAGAACAAATGACACAGTTGTACTGTAAATCATTTAGAGGAAACATGCAATTACCAAATGCATCCAGACAAAATTGACACGTCCTTAACAAATTTATATATATATATAAACTATCAATCACACCAATTCTGTAACAAGAGGCCCAGAGGGCCTGTATCGCTCACCTGACTATTTAAGCACTCACAGCAAAATATTCTCATTAAATATCATATTGCACTACAAATATTTCCCTCGCAAACTTTGTCGGCTCCATCTGTTGAAACTACCAGCCAAATATTATTATAAGATTCTATACTTTTTGGTCCTTCTTCAGAAGTTACTTGACATTTTCTTGTGACCTTGTAAGTAGGTCAATGTCATTTTCCTTCTCATACTTTTTTAGCTCTATCCCAAAAAGCTACCAGCAAAATCTTATGAATACATTCCTTTTGGTTCTTAAGAACAAATCCTTTAATTTGTTGATGACCTCTGTGACCTTTAAGGTAGGTTGAGGTCATTTTCATTTGCAAACTTTGGTGAGCTCTATCCAAGGAAGCCACCAGCCAAATATTATAATTTTATGCCTTTGATTATTCAGAAGTCATTTGATGTTTTTGACATATTTGACACCTGTGACCTTGAAAGAAGGTCAAGGTCATTTTTATTTTCAAACTTTGTCACACTCTATCTCAGGAAGCCAACAGCCAAATATGAAGATTCTATACCTTTTAGTTCTTCAGAAGAAGTCGTTTGAAGCGTTTGACACATTTGACCCCTGTGACCTTGGAAGTAGGTCAAGGTCATTTTCATTCTCAAACTTTGTCAGGCTCTTACCAACAAAGCTTTCAGCCAAATATCATGACTCTTCGAGCAGGTGAGCTAAAAACTCATTTTCATATTTATTATTCAAAACTGTTTCCATGTTACTGTTGACCAAATTTGCCTCCAAATATCAAGTTTTGAATAATCAATGTAGAAATTCATTTTCACATTAATTATTCAAAAACTTTATCTATATTACTGCTTTTAAGCTTTCTTTGACCAATTTTGCCTCCAAATGTCAACATTAACCCTCTTATTGGTTTCTACTCATTTCACAATGATCCTTCAGGTTCAAAATTACTAAATACCTGTATATCTTTGACAGGGTCTGTATCACATCAATTTCTGTCCAGAACTAAAAAAAAACAAAAAAACATCAATTCATACATATTTTATGAACGTCATTTGAGTTTCATTTTTCTTTTCTTTTTTCATAGGAGCTATCATAGAGATGCTCATTGCTAAACTTGAGGTTTTTGAAGTAAAACCAATTTTCATGATGTAATACTTACCATAACTTTAGTATGCATATACAATACCTACACCCATCTTTGTAGCCCAAAAACAAAAGATTCAAATATCCCTACCTCCCTACCGTGACGTAACCTCTATCTCGATGACAGAGCCACGGAGTGATCTCCCTTCCTCAAACCCCCTTTTATGGAGCCTAAAGGCAGCCAGGATGAGGAGGCAAGGGGAGGAATACAGGGTGGGACTCCATAAAGTTATGGTAAGTATTACATCATGAAAATTGGTTTTACTTCAAAAACCTCAATTTCATTTCAGTAATAATTACCATAACTTTAGTATGCGAATTCGTCTTACCGTAGTGGAGGCTTCGAATCCAGGCAGACCAGGCTGACGGAACAAACTCGAGACATGCTCAAGGTAGGGAAAAGGTTCAAGGAACCCCCCTAATAAAGCCCCGAAAGTAATTAAAAAATGGAAAACCTCCCCGTGAAACGAGCAGGTGTACCACCGTGGTGCCTGATAGCATACTATTTAAAATCACTGAATTACTGTGGAGGAACAGCCACAGACTGTGCAACCACCACCGGTCCAAGGGAATACAATCCATCAGAATGAGAGGCCAAGGACCGGAGATAAAAATCCGTGAAGGTAGTCTGTCCGCGCCAGAAAGCTGCGGACATGACCTCCTGAAAGGGGGACCCATTGAGGAGGGCCCATGACGCAGCAAGGGCCCTGATCTCATGCGCCCTCACCTTATACAACGCCCGAACCTGATCATCCGAGTGGTCGTAACCGTACTTGATGACCTGACAGATCCATCTAGACACTGACTGAGAAGAGATATCCTGTTGACCCTGCTTAATGGGCAAAAACAGACGAGATCGAGGACCTCGCCCCCCCCTGGTTTTATCGAGGTAAAACCTAAGCGCCCGACAGGGACAGAGCAACCTATCCCGTTCCTCAGCTCCAACGAAGGCAGTCAAAGACGGAATCTTAATCGGATCGGGCGAGAAGCCAGGAACCTGATTCTTAGCCATAAAGGCAGGATCAGTGAGAAGGGTAACGGCAGAGTAATTCCTGGACCATCGGAGGCAAGAGGGGTGAGAAGACAAGGCATGAATCTCACTCCTCCTTCGACCTGAGGCCAGGGCAACAAGGAATACCACCTTGTAAGTAACAAACTTCAAGGAGGCAGACGCTAAAGGCTCATAAGGTGCCCGCATCAGCGATTCGAGCACCAGTGGCAAATTCCACTGCGGAGCCAACTGCCGGACCCTAGGCCTGTCCAACCCAAACCCCCTAATCAAGGCAGAAAGAGAGGAGGACGAGCCTACCTCCGACCTACCATGAACAGAGAGAACACTAGCAATGGCCGTGCGATAACCAGCGATAGTGCCAGGGGCAAGATTGCGGTCCCTAAACAGCCAAAGAAGGAAGTCCGCAATCACCTGGACAGTAGCCTTGATCGGATCAACCTTCCTGCCGACACACCAATCACAGTAAATCTTCCATCGTGACTGGTAGACGGCAGATGAGGAAGCCCTAATTGATCGAGCGATGCGATCTGACACGTCCCTAGAAAAGCCCGCCTGAGCGAGGCCTCCTGAGATAGCTTCCACGCGTGAAGGTGGAGGATCTCCGGACGAGAGTGCATCGTCCTGGAACGAGGCTGGCGAAGGAGGTTCGCTCTGAGAGGAAGAGCCAGGGGCTCTTCCACCAGAAGCGACAAAAGCTCCGGAAACCAAGGCTGCCTCGGCCACAGGGGCGCTATCAGGAGGAGGGAACACTGATGCTCCCGAAACTTCTGCAGCACCCTGCCCACCATGTTGAAGGGTGGGAATGCATATGCATGCATTCCCTCCCAATCCAGAGACAGAGCGTCCACGGCCCAAGCCCTTGGATCTGGTACCGGAGAGACAAACGTTGGCAACTGATTGTTCAGTGAAGTGGCGAACAGGTCTATGTGAGGCCTGTCCCACACCTGACAAATTCCCACGAAAATCGAGGGATTCAGTTGCCACTCTGTCAAAACCGGCTGGCGGCGCCTGGAAAGAGTATCCGCCAGAACATTCAACCTGCCTGGTAGATGCTTGACACAAATTGTCAACTGCATTTCCTGACATAGAAGCAGAATGCGGATAGCGAGGGCACACAGGGTGTGAGACCTGGTTCCCCCCTGTCTCTCCAGATACGCGACAACCGTAGTGTTGTCCGTAGCCACACAAACCACCTTGGAATGCAGGATCTCCCGAAAAGACTGCAGAGCCAACAGAACAGCCCTCATCTCGAGCACATTGCTGTGCTCCGAGAGCTGTTCCCCAGACCACTCCCCCGACTGGCAACGCCCGTCGAGATAAGCTCCCCACCCTGTCATGGATGCATCCGTGTACAGGGTCATAGTGGGAACTGGCTTGGACAAAGGAACCCCTCGGAGAACATTGTCCTGATGAGTCCACCAGCGTGCGTACTCCTTGACCGACTGGTTCAGAGGAAGCAAGGCTTCCCAATCCCTTGAAGAAGGGACCCAGTTGGCAAGGAGAAACATCTGGAGAGGCCTGATGTGAAGTCTCCCTAAGGGGACCACATCGGCCAGGGCGTTGAGATATCCCAGAAAACTGAGAAACCAACGTACCTGGACTTGAGACCGGCCGATAAAGGTCAGAGCAAAAGCCCTGGCCTTCTCGAACTTCTCCATCGGTGGAAGGGCGATGCCCTGAACCGTATTGAAACGGTTCCCCAGAAAAACAAAATCCTGAGATGGGGAAACCTCCGACTTTTCTCTGGAAGGAATGAAGCCGACCTTGAGTAAGAGTTTCAGAACCAACCGGGTGACCTGTACCAGAGACTCTCTCACTAGGTGGAGCATGAGGGAGTCGTCGAAATAGATGTGAACATCTATTCCTCGAGAGTGCAGGAATCCCACGACCACCTGCAGCAGCTTGGTGAAAACCAAAGGTGCAGTCGTGAGCCCGAACGGCATGGCCCGGAACTGGAAGACCTTTCCGTTGCAAGTAAAACGGAGGTACTTCCGTGCCGACTTCTTGATGGGGATGTGGAAGTAGGCGTCCTTTAGATCTACTGAAGTCGCCCACATTCCCTCTCTCACGGAGGCGATAATACCCCGAGGAGTCTCCATCTTGAAGTGAGGAGAATCTACGTGCTTGTTGAAGGCACTTAGATCTATGATGGGACGCCACGCCCCGGACTTCTTCCGAACCAGAAACATTCTGGAGTAGAACCCGGGAGTGCATCCCGACATAGGAACCTCCTCGACCGCGCCCTTGGAAAGCATGGTCCTTACTTCCTCCTGGAGCGCCAGAGCCTTTTCCGGATCCCCCGGTGGAGGAAAAAAGATTGGCTCTGACGCTAAGGGCGGATCCCGCACTAGCGGAATGCCTAACCCCTCCTTGATCACAGACAAGGTCCATGCGTCTTCCGTAATTTCCTTCCACTCTGGAAGGAAAGCAGAAAGACGACCCCCCACAGGAAGATCTGGTCGAGGCAGATCGAGACCTTGCCAGGCAAGAGAATCGTCTGCTGACCCGAAGCCTAATCCTGCGGGAGAAGGACCTAAGCTTGAGCCGAGAGGACTGCATTCCTCCCGGCCAAACTCGTCGTCTGACACGACCAAGGAGGGAAGAAAAGAGTCAGGAACCCTTCTTCTTACCCCCAGGAGGGTTCTTACCCTTCTTACCCTTCCATTTGTTGCCCTTGAAGGGAGGCTTATACTTGGGCTGCGCAGAGGACTGCGAAGCCGAAGGTTTAGCCTTCTTCTTAGGAGGCGCTGACCCCTGCGAGGTACTGGCCTTCTCAGCCTGAATCCTCTTCACCAGAAGTGCAGAGGCGACCGAGTCCTCCTTCAAATCCTTCTGAACAGAAGGAAGGGCCCCTCCAAAAAGAGTGGACCCTGAGAAGGGGGCAGTCAACAGTCTGGAACGGTAAGGCTCATCGACCGGGCGATTTTTCAAAACTGAAAACCGCCTAGCCAACAAGACATTGACGAGGGATGACACCTGTAAAGCTGCCAGCGCTCTCAATGCCCCGTTCAGGGCAGAGGTCACTCTGTCCTGGATGTCGGCCTGCTCTGTCTCGGTTATCCGACCCTCAGGCAAGTCGGATACCCTATATAGACAAACCGTCAAGTAGTCTATATACGACAGAATCTGGATGGAGAGACGCAGCAGTCTCTCCATCTTGTGGTGTTCTTTGGGACCGAACACCACCTGGTCCACCGATTTACCGGGCCAAGCTGCAAGTTCCCTCGATTCCAGCTTAGCTGGTTGAGGGGCAAGCAGACCATCATGTGTGGCATAGTCAGTGGCGTGCACCTCTGACAAATCGCCAACACTGAGCTGCAACCCAGCATACCCAGGACTACGGGTTGAAGAAGAATTCTTCCCTAAAACCCGAGACTGGGCGGTGGCCAGAGCTGAAGACACAATGGTGCCTTCTGGCAGAGAGCGGTCCGACCGAGCGGACACCCGAGGAGCCACCAAAGAACCCAAAAGGGTGGTGGACTCGGGGACAGATGATGCCGAAGGTGGTGGGCAAACCTCCTCCCCAAGAATCCGGGAAACGTCAGCCCTAAGGCCCCGCATACCGGATAACACATGCTGGGCCTCAACCTCAGCAGCCTCAGGGTCTCCCTCATCCTGGAAGTCCTCCTCTGAGGGCAAGCCCTCCTGAGGACTGTCGTCAGACGACTCGGAAAGACCAGCGTCTATATCCGAACAACCAGGTGAAAGATGAACAACATCATTGTCCTCTGCCATACCCGCGCCCTCAACGTCCATAGCCTCCACACCATCCAGACCAGAAGCCTGGGGCGGAGGAAATGGGCCAGCCAGAGGGGCCAACCCGAGAGAAGGCTCCCCGTACCGGCGT